CACACATACACACTGTGTCTGACTTTCTCAATGAAAGAGAAAGCGAATGAAAAATGAAATTAAATTTGAATCTTGTTACATTTTAGTTATCCGTTATTTTGGCAACGTTTCAATTTGGGTCACGTTTTTCATGATTTCTTTTTTTTTTGTAAAATATTTTTCCATTTCTATTGGTATTGTATTGTGTTGGATGACGGAGGCTGGAGTGGGATCGACCAGCAGCACAAAAGCCTTGTAGAAAAGAATGCAGCGTATTTTCCAGTTTTTGTTTTATTATTAAAATTTTTAAAGAGTTGAGATCTTATTCAAATTCGTATAGTTATTCTTTTGTGTGTCACATCCATTTAAATTCGAAATTCGCATTTCGTTCGGCAATCGCTGTTACAATGATTACATTGTACTTCTTTGACAGTTTGTGTGGAATAATTTAAAATGGTAACATAGTTATTGCTTGTTGTTGCTACCTTTTGTTGCACGACGCAGATGAAATCATTATTTATACAAAATAACGAATCCATTTATAATTTTTTGTCCTTGTCATTTATCTGCCCTTTTCACCAGTTCCACCTTACAATAGCACATTTTGTTGGCATTTTTGTTACAGTTGAAATGATAAAGTGGTCGCAAATTGACAGTCGATAGCAAAAAAATTGAACTATGTTTACTTTGTTATTTACAAAACGAGATATTCGCTTTTTTATGCCAAACAGTTTCGAGATGCACGGGGTGGTTAATCGTTTGTGTTGAAAGATATGAATAAAATGACAAATATATACACAGATCGAGGATGAATAAAGAGAGAGGGAGAGGAATGAGAGCGCTCATCATTTCTCTGAATTCAATTCCGGCGATGAGAAAATTGTTTTCTATGAATATTATCGAATATTATGTTCCTCTTCGAATTTGTAAGCGAAACATTTATGGACGCGTCGAAACATACATTGCTGAATCCCATTTTATGTAATAGAAGAAAGCAGAGAAAAACGAAACGTTTTAATATGTTGCTGATTTTTTTTGTGTATATGTGTTATGCTTAAACTGCCCACTAATGCCATTAATTATGACAAATCTGCTATTTTCTATGCTTTACTACTTCGGAGCTCATTTCTAATAACATTAGACTTTATAAAAGCTGAGAAAAACCGATTTAAAAACGTAGTTGTTTGGACGCTTTGAAAACACCATAAATTTAAGCATATTTACGTTTCCGTTTTTTGCGCTCGTTTTCTCTTTTGCTTCAGAGTAGCTTGCGAGCTTATGACTAGACTGAATCACTGAACTACTATAAAAAAAAGAAGGTATGTTGAAAAAAATGCTAAAAAACGGAAATTATGGTCGAAACGCGCAAAGGGCGAACCATAGCTTTTCAAGCGATTATTTTAATTTATTATATTTTTGTGCCTATTTTCCATTGTGACTGTGACTGTGTTCCGCCAACAACTTTCGTTTTCGTAACTTTTCAAAAGCCAACTATTTCGAAAATGTTCTCATCGCTGCGTTCTGACTATATCAGATTCATAAAAAAGCATACTATGTTTATGGCCATGGTATATAAGACATGCGATTAACAGTTTTATGACCATTTTTTTCTCTCTCGTTCGTTTGGTAGAGAAATCCTGTTCGCCCAGATAACATTATAACTATACACATTGCAACTATTTAAGTTTTTGGCGCGCGAGCAACAACTGATTTTGATGGTCGATTAAATTATTCAATCGCTTTATTATTTAGGTGATTGCTAGATTTATGGTTTGAACGTGTGGCATTTTGAACCATCCCTTTATTCGAACCATATACATTTCGATATCGCGCTCGCATTTATTGCACGCTTCAAAATGGACAACTGTGTGCAAATGACATTCGAAATAGTTGCACATATGAGTTGATTTGAAACAAAAGAATGTGCGCTACTTGGGAAATAATCCAAACTAATCTGTAACGCGATTTTGTGTGAGTGAATGAGTGAGAGTTTTTTTTGTCGTAATTTTCAGCATGTATATATGGACTTTTATTTTTCGTTCGACATTATCGCGTAACACTCGTATAATCTACACGTGCAGCAATGCCAAGCGATAGAGGCTAGTTTAGACACCTATCCCCATGAATATGAAATGGTAACGAGAGAGTATTGCCCAGCGCTATTTTTTTTGCTGCTGCTTTCAATTGTAAAAGCGCGTCTCCAAAATACTCATACAACCGGACAATGTACAATTACTAAATGGAAAATGAACTCAATCCATTTTCTAACGGTGGAATAAAAATGAAGAAGGAAAAATGTTGCGTGCAAAAACCGTGAATGCAATAATTCAAAAGAAAGGCAGCGAAACGAAAAATAAAAAAAACCTTAAAATACACGTTCATTGTTGCGCGTCTAAGCTCATAGTTTTTGGCTTATATAGCCTATCACACGCGCGTCCTGTTTCTATTGCATAGCATATAAAAAACGGAAAGAACTTGAATGAAAATGAGCGATATTTATCACGAACGAAATGAAAGCAAAACACGTATTTTAAACATTTACTTTCGCTCGTTTGTTATTGTTGTTGTTCATTCAAAGTATTTCATTTTCTATTTCGATTCGACGCGGGGCAAAATTTATTGAATCTCTTCGTCATTCGGCAAATCTATACGATTCTATCGATAGTTAACCTATTTTCAAATTCAAAAATCCGTGCACTTTTTGCAAAAGGCAAAAATCAATCTAAACAATGTATAAAATTCACACACAAAAAAAAATATTATGGAATTGGAATAAAACCATTCCATCAAATAAACATCGAACTAAATAGAGCAGAAAGATTTGATAAAAGCTCGTAATCCCTATTTGGTATGTTCACACGCGATCCACCGCACCAATTCACAATATTGGCAGGGGGGATGGCCAATACATAATAGGCCTTAAAATGGCCTGAAATATGTATTTCGGTTAATCGCGCTTCACCACATTCATGGTCAGGCATTTTAATTGCGCCACAATTACAACTTGTAATCGAAATCAATCTATCCCGAATTTTCAACGAAATGAAAGAACCAAAAAAAGCCACCATCGAAATTCCTCGAACAGAGGTCAATTGTTTCAGGTTTCTCTCTCTTTTTTGCTTATTCAACCGTTCTTTGTAATTAATTTGAACCATAACATTTATGATTACTTTTATTTACATTTACAAGTGGCATTTTAAATGAGGCTTTTATTCCGTATACGGGAAAACTTTTCGCTCAAACCAACCGTAAATTGATTATACAGGTATTAATTTACCTGGTGGCGGATTTGATTGAAAACTATTAGAATAAAGTGCTGAATTGTATTCATGCTGATTGCCAACCACAGGGAATGCTATATAAATATAATTATTAATATTTTGAATGTTAAATTGTTAATGACTGGTTATTCGATTCGAAAAACTTTAATTTTGTGTGCACACCATCACGTTTTCGTCAAAAGCATGTAACTTATTATAATCGATCGAAAGGGACAAACAAACTAAAAACGAGGAAAAATCGGCATTCGTGGTCATGGTGTGTTTACACGATGAACTTTATTGAAAGTTGTCTTTATTTGGTGGCAATCAACTAACAGGCCAATTTAATTGCCGTATCGTTGTTTCTATCTTTCTCTCTTTCTATGTGTATGTGGCATTTTAGCGTCGGTAATAACATGGCCAATGCATTGTATGTACAATACTAGATTGAATAAATCCTCGGATCTAATCAAATTTATGAATAAACAATGTTGTCAATAATGGAACTAACAAGTCAACGGTGATTTTTTCAAGTAAATTATTCAATTGGGTCTGGCGAATTCAACTGGGCTTGCCATAACAACGAACACGGACGATGACGACGCCAACGTAAGACTCGATTGAATCGGTGTGTATGTATACGAATTTACGTTTGTTTTTCACTTTATCTGTTTGTACACGCTCAACGCTTCCGTTCGATTGCTCTGTCGAAAAGCTTCACTATGCTCAAATTGGCCAAAGTACTTGGTTATAAACAGATAAATATTATGTGGTATGTTTACGATAGACACACACACACACACATACTGAATACTCGACACACGGTCAAAGCACTCAAGCAATGGAACTTGAGAGCAATCAAGAAAATGGCATTACAAAACTAAACTCACTCATTTTATCCATAACTATTTAATGCATTCTGCAATTTCCAGTCGAATAAAAAAAATGTCGAAACTCATTCATTTATTATTAAGAAAGTTGTGTCAATACTTTTTCAATTTTCCCATTCATTGGACGGAAAGAGAGAGCGAGAGAGATAGAGCAAAGTTATCGAAAATTCCATTGGCTCTAGTATTTTGCCTCCCTCATTTCACTTCGTCTATTTTCCTGTTGGCTGTTCCACTTTTTCCAACTTGAAAATAAAATAAAATACAAAAATAAATCACAAGATAAAGCAATTAGTTGCAAATATCAATTCCATAGACGCTCGCGCTCTGGCACCGTGTGTCAGTCAACGCGCTCAAAATTTTTAAATCAATTTTTTAATTGAGTTTTTATATTCGAATGCGATGCCATAAATTATCAGCGTATGAAAATTTTCTTTCAAAAATTTATTACATAATTCAACTTGACTAAGAATTTTATTTAAAAAAAAAAAATTATTTCAGCGCATTTTTGTGCAAGAATGAGCTTAGCGCACAATTTACCAATCGCATAGCTTCTGGAAAAAAAAAATTCATTCGAATTCCTCAATAATACACACATATGATCAGCGAGCAATTGCAGCAGCAGCAGCACTGAATGAATCGATGCGACCGAGAGGGAGTGCGCGAGAAATAAAATTCCATTCAAATTATTTGGTATACGAAATAGTTACATAAATCGGTGTACAATTGTTCAGCTAACAATTTTTGGATGGATGAACGCATCACAGCAGCAACAGCAGTATCACACATTTCAGCATATATTGTTGATATTCGCGAAACGGGTCGAACGAGAAAAATTTTACGAAGAAAACGAAACCAAAAAAAACTACATTACATGGTTGCAAGAGCATCAAATCCAAATGCACACACATTTAACAAAAAAACCACACCGAAACGACAATTCGCGACAATTCACTTAAAACCAATCCCAAAAAATATGTCTATAAATTGAATATCTATTTCTTTTATTGTTGTTGGAACGAATGCTATAATTTCATTCACAAAAAAATGGTCTAACTCGCGAAATCGTATTTAAATTGCAATCAACTTTTTTTCTTCATGTATATATATATCAGAAAAGTATTGCGTTACGCTTCGTTAGTTTATTCACCAATTTTGGCTGAATGCCGCCGTGTGTACAGAATGCAAGGACAACACGACTTCGACTGAATCGAATTTGACAATGGAAAATGCTTATAAGGAAAAAGGCACACGACCAATGGACGCGTTTTTTTCCTGCTACTTTCACTTCTTCTTCTTATTTCGCTTCTATTTGATTACGATACACGCGGTATACGAACGGAAAATAATGAAATATCATATGGCAGAAAATCTCTGCTGAAGTTTGGGAAGAACTGTAAACGATTCAACGTTCACCGGTCAACTGAAGACGGTGCGTTATAGCCAAATCCCTTATTCGTTTTCAACTTTGAATTTCGAACTTGGTTTCAAGAGGATTTTCCTTTGGATTTGTTTATATTTCTATCTCGCTCTAGCCTGCAATGTTATCGTTGGCATACAATTAAGAGAAGCATGTGTTTTCATCGTTCAAATAGATCAGATTCGTGCAAAGAGTGAGAGCGCGTGCGAGAGAGACAGAGAGGGAGAGAGAAAGAAAGAGCGATAATACCCAAACAAACATTTTGCCATTGGCAAGCTCTCTGTCTAGCACGTTCATCTAGTTGGCTCTGTTTCACAACAGGCCATGCTATAAATTGTGGCGTTTTTGATATAAACATGGAGAAATGTTTGTCGTTTCATCCACAATCTGGCATACATGTATGTGTAGTTGTGCTTTCCGCCAACCCCAACATCATCTTTTACTATTTGTGGCTATTAAATTCGCGTTGATACTCTTTCTCTTAACTATTCGCTAAGTGAATTTGCAATTTCTGTCGCTTTCTAATCCGCGCCAATTCTGAATTGTTGTTGTTGTTATTCGATGTGTGTGCTTCGATTGAAGAATAAAAAATGACTTTTTATGGCGTGAGCAATCGATTTTGAAACCTGTCTTGATCAACATTTCCGATTAGACAACAACAAAAAATGCACATATGAACTATTTCTTCAAATTATACCAAAAGCCCATTACCATGCTCAATTCGAAAAATGTTAATACCTTCATCTTCGAACTTCATCATTTTGGGGTATGTATGTTTCGTCTTCTGCTCTTCGAACGAATTGAGTTAAAAGCGGAGAAACCAGATAACACGGTAAACTATTTTTGAAATGCGCATGACGACTCGAACGTGTCTACTCTCTTCGGTTCACTTTAACACATTATTTTTGTCGTTCTTGTTGTTGTTGTTGTCGATTTTCACTGATTTCCCTGTCATCGTTCTACATTTCTCAACCGAATCTGTTTGCATTGCTTTTGTTTATTCTTGGCTCGAGTGAAAGTTTGCTGCAACACTTATATTATATACATTACGTATTTTAAGATAAGATTTCATGCACTTGATAACAGCATATGATTGATGTCAAATCCCACTCGCTCACATGTGCCAATCTAGCGCCGTTAATCTGCATATTCATTTCTGAATTCATTTATTTTGTTTGCGACTATTTTTCATTTTCGCTCGCATCATTTCATTTTCAAAACGACATTTGATCGGCACATGAATGCAAACGCGTCTATTTGCAAACGACGAAAGAGGAAAGCGCACACATAGATCCGTAATTCTTCATTTTCAATTCACTTTAGATACAGATTTTATTCGTTCTTTCACTCGGCGTGCACGAGATATAGAGATATTATTATTATTATTTTTTATGAAAAGGGATATTTGTTGACAAATGTCGACGCAAGACTATTTATGTAATTCAAGGTTTTTGAATCCATTGTTTCAATTTAAGACGAAGATTTATTTTTCCATTCATTCGACTGACAGCGTGAGAGAGAGTGAATAGAGGCGGAGAGATAGAGATACAACAAAAAAGAAAAATGGAAAGCCGATGGTGCTAGCGGTACTGCTGCGAGCAGTGAATTAATTGCACATTGAAATCAACGCTGTAGCATGATCTTTAGTCTTCTTGAGAAGATTATGTGCTCGTTGATGCCAGATTAAAATCGGATTTCTATCAGAAAATTCGATTCCATTAAAAAGCATTCAGCAAAATGATAAAGCATTTCACACTGACACATCATTACAACGGAGTACTCGCTTTCCCCTCCCTTCGAATATGCCGAAAATTCAATTAAACGACTGCATTCATAACAACTACAACAGCTCTTGGTACCACATCGACGTGGGTATAAAACGTTTAATTATTCGTGCAAACACACGTGTGCATCATCATCATCATCATGGTGAAAATTGCGCCATTTTTCATAGACACGACGAAAACCAGAACCTCATTTTCATTAGCATCGTTCGACGACTATTGACTTAATAAATGACTGCAGTCGAATGTTCAACTGCATTTTCCCGCTGGCCTCCATAGGGAACAGAGAAAGAGAGAGAAATCGAATCGGTTTTATTAAAACAGCCCGTGCACATTTTCACAGCATTCGATGGCCCTTTTTTCATTTTCAAAATTCGGGTTACTTCAACAAACAATGCCATAATCGAGATAGCAGCAACTTTGTTTACCATTCCACAAGTGAAATGAAAGATTAATGAAGCAGTGGAAAAAACGGATCGAAACTCGAATTTAACTGAATGTAGAAAAAATCAACTGTTTGCAGTTTTTTCTAGTCTTTTTCCAACGGCTTCATTCAAATCGATGTAAAGTTTTAATTACTCGGTCATATTATTTATTCATGCACTTAAATGTTACTGTTACTGTCGCGTACATAGAGCCAAACCACTTTTTTCCACGTTAAGCAAATAACACAATGGTTCAGTAGCTTTCGTGTGGTTTGCGTTTTTGATGAATTTACTAACTTCAGATACGTCCACTAGAGTGCCTTTTTTACACATTTTTTTTTGCGAACGGTGTGTCTTTGCTTATATTTTTCCTTTCAACCAGCAGTGATTTTATTTCAACAGTTTGAACTCGAGTTGAACTTTCACATTAACAGAATTTTTTTATTCGGTGTTTGTTGCCCATACATTTCACTCTTGATCATAATAAAACGGTTTTGTATATGTAATAAAAAAACGAAATTGAAATTGTATGACAGGTGTCAATTAAATTAATTCGAAAACTTTATGAATGGACGACATGAATAATAAATTCAATTGATGGGCGCATTTTATCTGATAAACAATCAACAAAAGAGACGTCAATAAACTTTTCATCAATGCAATGCTGTTGAAACTTTAATGAACCCACTGAACTGATGGCTATGGCAAATTTTATTCCATTCATTTCATTCAATACGATGACATGAATACGTCAAATGCGCTCCATCAATTTTCTTGATTACCAATTCGATCTTATCTTTGAATCTACTTTTGACGACATCGCTCTATTTGTATACGACAAAATTGATAGTTTCTTAACTGAATTTATTTAGGATAATTGGTAATCACACTGAATATTTATGTAGCTCATCAAATGAATTAGAATTTGGAACAGAACAATCGACGAAATTGTTGCTTGGATAGAACTGCTTTTTCTACAACAGATTTTCCCTAGTAAATAATTAGAATATGTGGCCTTCTTAAAATGAGAATTTTATCTGTTTGCCATTCAAATCTAATTTAACTTTTTTAAATTCTACATTAAACTGTCAAAGCCATGGACATCATTAATTACTCTAAACTAAAACAAAAAAAAAACTGTAACAAGCATATAAATCACATTTATCTATCACTTCTGACATTTGTCAATAGCAAATCACTCTCCAACAGTAATGACAACGGCATTGCTTTTGACAAAAATACACACAAAGAAACAAAAACAACAAAAGCAATGAATTTAGAGAAATGATTTTAATCTTCAATGATACCGTAATCATTATCATGCTTTGATCATCAAATTCGCATGCTCATCAAAATGGAACCGAATTATTCTGATCTAGCATTCAATGCTACATTTGCAAAATATCATGACAATCATTTTTTCGGTATTTTTCATTCGGCGACAGTATTTTTTAATCAGCTCATCAGAATATACATGTTATTCGAATTTTTCCATCAAATTGTCACATAAAAATGAAATGTTTTGTGTTCTTTCTAGTGGTTTCCAAATTAAATTTTCCAAATGTATGTGTAGGTGAAATTTTTCCACCTTTACTAGTGAATATGGTTCGTCGAGCAACATTGGATGAGCAAAAGCAGCCGGGATTGCTTCCGACCGCCGACGACATATTTCAGATGGGAAAAAATCTTTTCGGTCGCTATCCATTCGAAATGGTAAACACTCTAATGCACTGAGTCAATGTTGATTTTTTAAAAACAAAAACAAATATTTTTAATTAGGTTTACTCGGCAATTCATGAATTTTGTAAGTTTTGAGCTTGAAAAAATAATTGAGATAATTCTACGGATAAATTTCATTTTACATCATACTGATGTGCATTTAATATGACCAGGCACCGACGAACTATCAAAACGAAGAGCGCAACCAATGCTTTTCTACAAACCAAATATGGCCGAAATGAATTACGTTCTTAAATTAAAAGACCAAAATATTTTTGTGCCTTTGAATGAACCGCACAAATTATACAATTTGAAAGAATTTAATGCGGAGCTACCACTCACTATAATGATCACGGGTTGGACAACGAATGCAAACAAACCGTCAAATTTAGCATTAGACATTGTTTATGCAGCGTATCGGTGTAGAGGAAATTTTAATTTTGTGGTAATAACAGTTTGAAGTGAACTTTTTTTTTAAATATATATTGGAACTTTAACTTTCAACTTTTTTAATCATGCACTTTGCGATTTGAAAAGAGTATTGATACAGGTTAGTTATTCATTTATTTTTTTCCCTGAATGAATCAGTGTAAAAGTGCAGTTTTGTTCACACTTTAATTTTGTTTGAAGGGCGTTTTATTGATACCTTGTACACATGGAGTGCAGTCAATACGGAAGAGATCGGAAAAATTATAGCTGAATCGTTGAAATACTTTGTGAAAAGTTATCCCATTGAAAATATCCATATTATCGGTCACTCGTTGGGTTCGCATAGTAAGTTCAGTATTTATTACTTTTTAAAATAATGTTACTTAATAAAGCGGAGCATAGTTTTGATATAATAGAGTTCGAATGAATTTAACAGTTGCAGGTTCAGTAGGTCGACATTTGAGAAGAAATGTGGGCAAATCGTTGCCACGGATTACGGCGTTGGACCCGGCTAATCCATGCTTTAATACGGAAAAAGATCTAACCGGTTTGACTCGGTATGATGCTTCTCATGTCGATGTGATCCACACAAACCCCGGAGGGCTTGGCAAGAGGGAGAACATAGGTAAATAACGAACACGATTCGAAACTATTTCTGGAGATTAATAGTTGAATCATCGATTGTTGCTTTCAGGCGATGCCGATTTTTATCCAACGGGCTTACATCCGCATCCAGCCGGTTGTTTTACTATGGTGTGTGCACATTTACGGGCACCAGAGTATTATGCCGAGACTGTTTATCCCGGCAATGAGAAAAATTTTCTTGCCGTCGAATGTGGCTCTTTGTTAACAATGAATACGCACTATTGCTCAAAACGTGAGTATGCAATGGGTTTTGCAACACCGCAAAACATTGAAGGAGTTTTCTTTTTGAGCACAAACGAAAATAGCCCATACGGACTGAATGCGACAAAAGACTTTACACCAGTTTGCAACGAATGAATTCATTTTTAGGAGGGAGTAATGTATGCTATAAGTAAGTGAGCACTTTATTTTAAATAAAAGTATCTTTTTTATTAAATCATGTCGCTTAATTTTACTCGATGTGTATCGCATCTGTTCTTTCCGCATTTGTCACCGAACTTTGCACGAAACAATAAAATGAAAGACTAGAAAACAGCTATGACCAATATTTCATAGAAAATATGTTGGCTTGGAAATGCAAGAGTGGACTATTGAAAATTTATCTATTCAATTGTTGTGCTGGCGACTTGAAGTGGAAACATTTGGTTCCAAAGGCAATTCTCACAATGGATAGAATTTCTGCCAAAGCTATAACATTGACGCATTAATTTTCATTGTAAATGAGTACAATAAAAGCGAGAAGAACTTTATTGGTTAACACCACTCAAATCTACATTACAATCTCTGCATTCTACAAACAGCAATTATGCAACAAAATAGTTTCAACGCGTTTGAAGTAAATTCACCATGACCATTTCGAAAACGGGCAACTTTACAACAGATATCATTGAAACACACTTTATTATCCTTTGTGCTACATGGGTGTTTACACAAATTCATCGACTATTTTGCCCAAACCAATGGTATGCATGCGGGTGCGAGAGAGTATGTGTGGTTCAGGGTCAAAAGGTAGAAATATTCTGCAATTGAGCTCAAGTTATGCACATTTAACTTGTGTTGTTATTTCTAATAAACTAAAACAGCTGACTTTATCATCACGGCAAAGTACTGTATGCCATTTATTTTTATACCTGCACTTTACGGAACATGTTTCACATACGAAAACAAGAAGTAAACAAAAGCAAATCTTCGTGCACGTACACAGATATTTGTATTTTTGAATTTCTTCGGGGCTTATACTTTCCGTTTCTTTTGAACTTCGTTGATTTCATTGATTGTTTCTCTTCTTCTTTGTTCAAAGACTGCTTGCATCTATTTATGAACTAACATGTATAAAAGTTTATTGCATTTTTTGAAACATCGACAGTGCTTTTTGAGTTAGTGATCGGGAAACAACGTGCGATTGTTAAAAAGTTTTTTCTTTCGAAAAATGAAGTATTTTTTGTTAGTTTTGTTGGTTTGCAAACTGTATGCGCCAACTGAATCTTTTGGCTCATTAAGTGGGAGTGTTCCGATCTTGAAAAATCTTGGCAAATCGGCCATTGGCGCTGTTAAGAGTGTGACAGCGAACATTTCGGAGGTAATTCCATCAGTTAAAGATATTGCAGCGAATGATTCTATGACAAATGATGATAAAAGAGATGCCATGTCGACATTGCAAAATATTGGCGCATCAGCCGTGAATGTTATTAAAGGTGTTGCACAAAAAATACCAGATGTGATTCCATCAGCAGAAGACTTATTCCAGTATGGCAAAAATATTATCATTGGATATCCATTTGAAGTGGTAATTATGACAGTTTTTGTACACGTTTATTTTTCTGGACATTTCTCATAGTAATTATCAATTCCTATGCAGGTTTATAGCACCATCAACTCATTTTGTAAGTTTCAATTGGTCTTCATTGAAAGCATAAATTGGATTTTGTGAGAACAATGTTTTTTTTCGAATGCATATAGGTTCGGCTGCATTGTCTACAGAAAGTGTAAAACCCCGGTCAACGCCAAATATTACAAACATGTATTACGTGCTCAAAGTTGGCGATCGAAATATCACGGTGCCTTTGAATAAACCACAACAATTATGGTTGAAGAAAGAATTTAATATTCGGTTCCCACTCGTCCTATTAATTACGGGTTGGACAACGAATGTAAACGAGAGTAACTCAGCGTTAGACGCAATCTATTCAGCTTATCGTTGCCGTGGGAATGTTAACTTTGTGGCAAGTTTTGACTTTTCTCCAACTTTTTTTTCGCATCAAACTTTTTCCATTTTAAATTGTTTTTTTATTGCCTCTCGAATATGCCCGGTAGGCCGTTGACACAGGTAAGTAAAGTTTTTTTCTATTAATTACTTTTTCATAACGAATAATTCATTCCACCCATTATAGCTGGATTTGTTGATACGTTGTACACATGGTCTGCATTTAACACGGAGGAGATTGGAAAAGTTATTTCAGAATCGTTAGAATACTTGGTGCGAACCTATCCTGTCCAGAAAATTCACCTAATTGGTAAGCTCAAATACTAGTTTCGCAAGTGATTACAAACAATTATTGTGTTTTTTATACTAAAGAACGTTTTTCTCTCTTTTTCACTATTGTTTTGTTTTGTGTAGGCCACAGTCTCGGAGCACATAGTAAGCGATGTTATTTATTATTTTATTTGGAATAGAGATATATAAAATGCATTTTTTTTAGTTGCGGGTTCGGCTGGTCGAAATTTCTATTACAAAACGGGCAAACTAATACCTAGAATCACCGCACTAGATGCAGCAAGTAATGTTTTGTTTCGCTTTTTTTCGACTTTTTTACTCCGAATAATATTTATAATTAAATTAAAACATTTTCCAGACCCATGTTTCAACTCTGGGGAAAATTTGACTGGCATTCAGAGAGGTAATTTTTTAATTATAATTATATTCTTTATAATTACTTTTTCTTTATTAACTTTATTTATATATTTTTCTAAGGCGACGCCGAATTCGTAGTGGCTATACATTCGAACAACGGTGGATTAGGAAAGAAAGATCCATATGGTAAATTACATTTAGCAGCAGGACACTTTTTGCATATGAAGAAACTATAGAATGCAATTCACAAATTGTCTACAATTTCGAAAGTGGATGCACTCACTGTTGTTTGCTTTAAGAGCGACAAACAAACTTGACGTTTTTCCTATTCAGTTCGTGTGCAAATTTACTTGCATTCAAGAGATTATATATACTTTCTCCATACCAAACATACTTCCAGATGAATTTCTGTGGTCAAATGAACATATAAAATCCATTAGCTTCGACTTCACTTAAATCGAATTTAAATACCACATTGGAGTAAACAATATTGTATGTTTTGTGTGAATTTTAGGCGATGCAGATTTTTATCCAAACGGAGTACAACCACTTCCACCAGGTTGTTATTCAATGTCCTGCGCCCACCAGCGTGCTCCGGAGTATTATGCTGAGTCGGTATACCCCGGGAACGAGAATAATTTTATGGCAGTTAAATGTGGATCGTTATCGTCGCTAATTTCAAATTTCTGTCCAGGAAATCCGGTCCCAATGTGAGTGAGAAGAATGTGATGCAAAGAGAATGTGATGTAATCATAAAATGTTCGTATCTTTTTAGGGGCTACGCAACTCCACAAAATTTAAAGGGAAATTATTTCTTAAAAACCAACGAAGTAAGCCCCTATGGCATGAACGCAACCAAAGATGCACGTCCCAAATGTTTTAATCGATCATTTTCAATTGCATTTCTGGACTGAAAATAATTCTCTCATCGAAAAAGCAATAAATTGAATTTTAAAATTATGGAATTAAATGCTGTTTTTTAATTGATTAAATATAGCATTTTTTAATAAACATGGAACAAAAAATTGAATTGTGAAATCAATTTATTCAAAAAGGTGCCATATTTTGAAGACAAGTGGACCTATTTTCGAATTTCAATATTTTTTCATGATGAATAGTCCAAGGGATTTCCAACAATACATCAATAGTGGCGAAAGACCTTCTAGGATGGGATTTTCGTGTATATATAGACTTTTTACTACACTAAAGTGGTTTCGTCACTCGCGCCGTGGTAGAATTTACAGTTTTTATCATTGCATAGATAAGAAAAACTGCTTATTATGTACAATGGATTGCTTTGTTTGAAGCGAAGATTGTAATGCAAATTGCCATGTAAATCGCCACATGAAACAAAAACTTTGATTAATCTCACTTCCTGAGAAATTCTATTCATAAATTATTGGAAATGAATAATTTATCTTTTGTTCTTTGTTTTTTCACCGAATGCATTGCAAGAAAAATTTGAAAAAATGTGTCGATAACCTATTCAATTTACCGTATATAATGTTCTTATTATCAGTAAATAAATGAATATGTGCAATTGTGCATATGCACGGTAGAACAAATAGCCGAGGCTTTCATTTAAAATGTGCTTGGTGGTCGAACAGAGCGTTCAGAACTGTTTGATAACCGAACAACACACAACTTTCAAAGTATAATTTTGTTAATCAAAATGAAATATTTCTTGGCAACTCTATTCGTTGTTGCACTTTATTCGTCAGGCACTGATTGTGCGTTTGATTGGGGGCACATTGGTAAATCGAGCGTGGATATTGTGAGCGGTGTTGTGCAAAAAATACCGGATGCAATCCCATCACCAAAAGAATTATTCGAAACTGGCAAAAATTTAATCGCCGGCTATCCATTTGAATATGTAATTTCAACTTGATAAAATATATTATTCAGTTCCCACTGTAAATTGTGAATAACTTTTCATTGCAGGCTTTTTCGGCAATCAATACATTTTGTAAGTTCTAAAAGAGTCATGACAACCATTGAAATTTTTCAATAATTCTTCTGATATAAAGGTGCTGCAGCTCTTTCAACAAAAACTATACAGCCGCTCATCACACCAAATATAGATCATATGAATTTTGTGCTAAAAATTGAAAATTTAAGCATTGCAGTGCCACTGAAAGAACCCAAACAGCTATGGACGTTGCCAGAATTTAATCCGAAACTACCGCTCATCCTGATGATCAGCGGCTGGACAACGAATTTTAATGACAGTGCAAATCCCACAGTCGATAAAATTTACGAGGCCTATCGGTGCAGAGGAAATGTTAATTTTGTGGTATTCGATTTGATTTTTATTTCCCACATGAATTTTATCGATCTTTTCTTTTTTTACAATAATTAGACTATTGATCCAGGTTAGACTTTTTATATTATACTTAAAAGCTGTTTTATGATTTTAAAAAAAAACTTCTCTCTCTGCAGCTGCTTTTGTCGATACATTGTACACATGGTCGGCTTTTAACACCGAGGAAATCGGCAATTTAATTGCAATTTCATTGGAAATATTGATAAAAAACTACCCTATTCAAAATATTCACTTAATCGGTAAGCAACACAAACACTACACACATAGTTTATCTACATATAGAAATGATATGTACATTTTTACACTGTGTATAGGTCATTCCCTTGGGAGTCACAGTAAGCCAAATCTATATTTAATTTTGTTGAATGGAATAAATAATTTGTAAGTATTATTATTTTCAAACGATTAAGTTTGTGGTTCAGCCGGCCGAAATTTGTTTTACAAAACTGGTAAATTGCTGCCCAAAATTACAGCCTTAGATCCTGCCAGTAAGTAAACATACATTTTCACAAATTTATTATGGCATACAAATTGCTATGAAATTTATTCCATACTTTGAGCCAGACCCTTGCTTTAATCCGGGCGAAACTCTAACTGGACTATCCCGTGGTGACGCTGAATTTGTTTTGGTAGTCCATTCGAATAGCGGCGGTTTGGGCAAGCGTGATCCTTTAGGTAAATGTGTTATATATTTTGCAGTATGGTGTTGGCCACAGCTGAGATTAGCAATTATCTAATGTCTGTTTACTATTTATAAAACTTATTCGCATGCCATTACATTAGTGCAGTAATTGAACATACCAAACGGATGCAGATAATTCGATTATTATTATAATACTCGAGATGTCAAGCATCCTTTTCCATGTTTAAAGCATGTAATTGCACATACATGCACACACTATATTAGCCAATTGAAACTAATCTGCATATGAAATGCTTGGTCCGTTTCCAAATTACAAATAACAATTGTGTTTCGTGTACGTTATGCACATATATGTACACACTCTTTCATGCATGCTTTAACTTTGAACAGTCATTAACAAAAATATCATTAAATAAAAACCGTATATATACACTTGAGAATTGGCAAAACTTTTACTCAATATTATTTAACGCCAGGCGATGTTGACTGGTTTCCGAACGGAGTTCAACCACTGCCACCGGGTTGCTTTTCTATTACGTGCGCTCATCAGCGCGCAGTGGACTATTTTGCTGAATCCACGTATCCAGGAAACGAGTACAATTTTATGGGAGTGAAATGTAGTTCATTATTTGCATTAACCACAAACAGTTGTCCGGGAGAAAGTTTTCCAATGGGCTACGCCACACCAAGCTACTTGAAAGGAAACTTCTTTTTGAAAACGAACGCCGAAAGTCCATATGGATTGAATGCAACACGAAATTTTCAACCCATTTGTAATAATTCACTGAATAAAATTGATGCATTATAATGGCAGTGTTTTTGTACTGATTTGTTGTATTCAAATATACAATGTTATGTATCAAAAGTTTTTTTTCTTTATTTTTATTGAACAAATGTAGGTTATTCCATGAATTCAAGTAAAAATAACATTGATTATGAAACGTTGAAAAAAAACGAGAACGAATCATGAACTTGAGACCTTTAGAGAGTGAAATGCATCTATATTTAATCAGACATACATTAATTACAATCGTATAATCGTAAATTATACTTGATTCAAGCAACTTGAAAAGAAGAAAACCGATTCCCTCTCTCCAACAAACGAACTTGCTGGTTTGTGCTTGTGATAAGCTTGGTTCCGTTAATTTTCGATAGAGCGCTCATTCATCAACAGCACTATATATTGTATTTTCACAACATCGAAGTATAAAAACTATTAATAAAGTTGTAATAATTCGATTTTATCGGGTATATTGATTTAATGTCAAAACGTTTAAGGTGACGTTTGATCGGTTAATCAATGATAAATGACCGATTGAACAACGCGTAAAACACAACTTTTATTATACTCAGATTATTTGTACAACATGGGGAATTTTCATTTTTTTATGTTTGCATTCAGTTCGAAGTAAATACACCATCACCAGAAACAGAATACAGATAACATTGAAGTAGATTTTATTATCCCTTGCTATATGGATGTCTTAACAAACTATTCTTCGACGCTTTGCTTAAAACACAGCATTGGTTTGTGTGAATGGTTCAGGGTCAAAGGTCATTGATGTTTTGCATTTTTGCTCAGGTAGTGAAATACACAGTTGACATCTTCTTATCACAAAAAAAGAACAAAAATTGTTTTTAATTTTTATTGTGCAAAGAAAGAAGTAAAAACATTACAATTTGTACAGATATCTTTGAATTTCTTCGGGACTTTTACTTTTTGTTTCTTTTTTCTTACTTTTTGTTGACTTTATTCATTTTTTCAAATTCTCTTCTTAGTTTCTTGTCTTTGTTCAAAGACTTTTTGAATCTATTTATGTTTATTACATTTTCTTGAAACGTCGACAGTGTTATTTAAGCCGTGATCAGGAAACAACGTGAGTTTGAAAAGTATTACAAAAAATGAAGTATTTTTTGCTAGTTTTCTTGGTTTGCATACTATATGCGCCAACTGAATCTACATTTTATAAATCAACTGGATATTATACACCGAGTGAACCGTCGATGTTGAAACATATTGGCAAATCAGTAATACGTGTTGTTAAAAGTGTGACCGAAGAGGTCGCAGATGTAATTTCAACAGTAAAAAATGATGCAACGAAAAATGATAAGGAGATACCAGCTGATCCGACGATCCTGCTAAATATTGGTGCATCAGCCGTCAATATTATCAAAGGCGTTATCGAAAAAATACCAGAAGTGATTCCATCAGCAGAAGCCTTTTTTCAATATAGCCAAAATATCATCATGGGTTATCCATTTGAGAAGGTAATTATGGCAGCTTTTCGTGTATGTTTTTATGACAACGTTTAATGATGAATTTTTAAATAGGTTTTTCAGGTCATCAACTCATTCTGTAAGTTACATTACATTTATGGAAAGTGTAAAACCGTCACCACCACTTTTTCTATGCACGTTTTATAGGTTCAGCCGCAATGTCTTCGGAAAGTACAAAACCACTTGTAACACCAAATATTGCCGATATGAATTACATTCTCAAAGTCGGCGATCGAAATATCTCAGTGCCATTGAATAAACCACAGCAATTATGGTTGTTAAAAGAATTCAATCCAAGATTTCCACTTGTCATGGTCATAGCCGGATGGACATCAAACGTCAACGACGGGGGGAGTCCGGCATTAGACGTAGTCTATGCGGCCTATCGTTGCCGTGGAAACGTTAACTTTGTGGTAAATTTTCATTTTTAACTGTTTTCGTCTCATGCGATCTTTGCCATTTAATTTTATTTTTGTTTTTCTCTCGTTCAACAGACCGTTGACACAGGTTAGTAAATTTGTTTCTATTAATACCTGTTTCAATGAAAAATGTTCATTTTTTTCCGTCTTCATTGCAGCTGGGTTGATTGATACCTTGTACACATGGGCCGCCTTTAACACGGAAGAAATCGGAAATGTTATTTCCGAATCATTGACATACTTGGTGAAAATTTATCCCATGCAAAAAATTCATCTTATTGGTCTCTCGCTTGGAGCACACAGTAAGTTTTAATATAAAAAATTGCACTTTCATTCTATTTTAAACGATGTTATTTTAAAGTTGCCGGTTCGGCTGGACGAAATTTCTACTACAAAACGGGCAAACGACTTCCCCGTATAACTGCGTTGGATGCGGCAAGTAAGTTTTATTCGTACTTTTTACGATAATTAGTTTTTCCCTGTTTTTCAAAATTAAATCGTAATACGTCTTTACAGATCCGTGTTTCAACTCAAGGGAAAATGTGACTGGCATTCAAAAATCTGACGCTGAATTCGTATTAGCTATACACTCAAACAACGGGGGCCTTGGCAAGAAAGAACCTTATGGTAAATTCAAATTTTTGTAGTTGTCAAATATGAATTTATATACTGTATGTTTTGTGTGGTTTTTAGGCGATGTAGATTTTTATCCAAACGGAGTTCAACCACTTCCACCAGGCTGTTTGTCTATTTCATGTGCACATCAGAGAGCGGCCGATTTTTATGCTGAGTCAGTGTACCCCGGCAGCGAGCACAATTTTATGGCAGTTAAATGTGGGTCATTCTCATCGTTAAGTGAAAACTTATGCACAGGTAGAGAGGTCCCAATGGGCTACGCTACGCCGCATAATTTGGAGGGAATTTTTTTGTTGCAAACCAATGCTGAAAAGCCCTTTGGCAAGAATGCAACACAAAATGCATGGCACCGTTGTTCGTATCGCAGATATTTAATGGATTAGAATGTGAGAATGCATTTCCGATGAGCGCACCAGAGTGAATAAGTAAAATATTGAAATGGTGGTTCTCTTTTATATTAATTAAACGTAATAAAAGGTTCAATAATTAATAGAAATATTTTCTTTTTTATTTGAAATATCAAAAGTACTTTAATTTTACAATTGAATCAAACTTTGTGTATATCTGCATTGCGCCTTATCAAATTTAATGTTTAATTGTGGCCAAGTACATGATTTATTTATCCCATTGTCTGTGGCTTCTAATTCATTATGAGAAAATGTAAAGCGCATCTACATTTTCAACCAAAACAACATAGATTGATTGTTATCATGATGACATGCAATGCACTCGAAACCCATTCACTCTTCTCATATGAACAAAGTTTGGTTTGTGTTTGCGATAAATTTGGTTCTGTTGATTCTCGCTAGAGTAGCAACATATTTCTCACATTCAAAGTTTTACTTTCAAAGATCTACGAAGTTCACTAGAACTTACAATATTGAATTTACTAAATTTGATTTTCATTTGTTGAACACAATTCATTTTTACAATATTATTTTATCGGTTTTATCGTTTTTGTAATTTATTTATGTACAAGATTCAATCAGTTGTTAGTTTAACATTCCAATTGAATGTACTGTGACGTAAAAGCACAGCTGTTCTGAATGAAACAACGTTTTTTTGCTGTAATCAATTTATGTGTTTTTGTTGCTGATTCTGAACTTTCTACTAGAACATTCACTGTTGAAGAATCTAAGCAATCTCAAACAGATTAATCCATTAATTGAAGTGTAAAGGTAACGAACAACACGTGTGATAAATAACTGACATGTTTAGATATCAACTTAATGCAGTTAACTTGTTTGAAAGTAATTTAACGCATGCAAAATGCGTGTCGGCATTCTTCGTTGTGTGGCGTACGGAGACATAAAAGTCATTGTAACTCAATTATTCGATATAATTAATGAAAATAGATGCATAAAATGTCAAGTATGAAGAAGTTTGCTATAAAAGCAACTGTTATCTGATGTGAATGTTTCAGTAGAGAAACTCGGCATTGATTGGAGCTATTTTTGTTCCATGAATAGAGCAAATGATTGTGGCAAAAGTGGATATTTTGATATTGTGTAGGTAATGGTTTGATTTTTGTATTTCAAGGCAAATGAAAAAAGCTGCACCATTTTGACTGAAATAGATGTAGAATAATATATAAGCAAAGTTCTTTTCTTTTTTTACATATACGTCTTTTCGATGGACAGTGTTTGAATGTTTGTCCAAGAAATCGATCGAAATTCAGCAAATTTCCTCTAAACTATATTGACGCGGTTGTGTTATGTTCCAAAGTGAATCGTAAAAATAGAAAACATATTATTATTTTGCGTATAGACCAATACGCGTCAATCGAAAAACTCCCATTTTGAAAATCTCCGACAATATTCGAAACGAGCACGTACGTTGGGGTTGACAAACATGAAGTTTCAGTCGGTTATTTATTTGGCGATGGTTGTGATTGTGATGAGTGCAGCTGTTGTGGCAACATTTGAGGAGGATGCTTTATCCCTGGAACGTGCCAGTTTTGATACAATGGAGTCAATTGAAATGCCATCCGAACGTGGATTAATCAGTAAAATGATTGAAAGAGGAAAATTGCTTTTGAAATCATTGCCGAGAACGCTCAAAATGGCTGGTGGTCGTGTATTCGATTTGGTACCAAAACCCGAAACGATATTCAATGTTGGGAAGCAAGCTTTAATTGGTCTACCACAAGAAGCGATTGCGTATGCAGTGAATTCAGTATGTGAGTGTATCAAAAGACGATTGGAGACGATGATGATGGTAACAACGACGTTTGACACTTAACCACTTAACAATTGATTTATAATTGCAGGCAGTACAGCCATTCACATGAATGTTATCAAGCCATCCATTACGCCAAGTGTTCACTTGATGAATTTCCAATTTCTCACGCCTCATGGAGATACATTTCGCATTCCACTGCTTGAGCCGCATAAACTATGGGATAATCCAAAGTTCAATCGGAAATGGAATACAACGCTTATCGTGACTGGATGGAATACAAACGTTAATTCAACCAATGAAGCAGTTGACACATTATTTCGGGCATACAAACAACGAAAAATCAATTTTATCGTGAGTAAACTGCCAATAATGTCACATTTTATTCAATGAAAAGCAGGAACATTCATTTTTGATGACGATTTTTTTCTATAAGGTTTTTGATACATCAAATTTCATCGACTCATTATATTCATGGTCGGCATTCAATACGGAGGGTGTTGGAAAAATTGTTGGCGGAGCCGTGGCCGAGATGACTAATAACGCCGTTGATCTGGAAGGAATTCATTTAATCGGTAACAGAATTGAATTTTAAGCAAAAAAAATCATTTTTTAACAATATTGAATATTTCCCAACGATGCAGGACACTCATTGGGCGCTCATAGTAAGTATACACAGAGAAATTTTACAAAGAAAACTAGATGGCATGTCGTATAAAATTTGGAACTAGATAACAATACATATAAAATTGTATTTGTCCATATAATCTTCATGTAAAATAATGTTTTTGTGTATTGTCTTTTGTGCGGATCTTCTTCAAAAGACAAACGAAGAAGAACCACACAAAGGAGAATACACAAAAACGATATATTGTATGAAATTATATGAATAAATACAATTTTATATGTATTGTCATCTAGTTCCAAATTTTATACGACAAGCCATCTAGTTTTCATTGCAATAATTCTCTATGTGTATTCATTTTTTTCGCAATAAATTATGCACGACAAATGTAAAATTCATATTACAAAACAATTGTGATATAAATTTTAGTTGTTGGTGTGGCTGGTCGACAGTTTACAAATCTCACCAATAAATTAATTCCTCGAATAACTGGCCTGGACCCGGCTCGGTTCGTATACATGATTTATTCATTTGATGAATGCTTCAGAGAGTAATTTGTTTGTTGGTTCAGTCCATGTTTCAATGAAGGTGAACGTTTAAATGGTCTGCAGCGAGGTGATGCACGCTTCGTCGATATTATACATACGAATGCTGGCATTTTAGGAGTTAAAGAGTCCAGAGGTGACGTCGACTTTTTTCCAAACGGGTATATTTATCAAACAATTCAATTAAAACCATAACCGAACATAAACAAATAATTATATAAAATGAATTTTCTCTCCGAAGGCAATATTCATTGCAGCCCGGGTGTTGGACCATAATGTGCGCACACAGCAGGGCATACGACTATTTCGCCGAATCAGTGTATAAACAGAATGGGAACAATTTTATCGCAACACAGTGTAATTCATTATCGGCACTGCGAAAAGGAAAATGCAATATAAAACGCATTCCAATGGGAATTGATACGCCAACAACAGCATACGGCAATTACTATTTGGAAACAAACAAAAAACCACCATACGGTCGGGGATTTCAAAAGTATGCAAACGTTCAACAGTTGGCTGAAACAATTCAAGAACTCAACCGATTAAAGCAGGAGTAGATTTTCAGTTGACCTTTTTTTTTCACTGCATTTAAAACTGTAACGGTGAACTTGAACTTGTGACGTGTAATAAAATAAAAGAAAAAATTCCATTGAAAATTTATTTGGAAAGTTTTTCCGTCGTACTTTTTATTTCCAGCAAGGATAGAGACCTTGAATAAACCAAATGAAGCCTTGAATAAACCAAAATAAATAAAAAAGCTTTCAAACAATAGAAAGGAGCAACGGTTGTTCGTTGAATAGTTTATCAAATGAATGCATTCTTGCATGCTACAAAAATATCATTTTTATTGCATACTTTTTACTACCAACTAAAGCGACAAAAAAAAACACAATAATTCTGCTTCAGGAAGCAATGTGAATTTCCGATTTCTAATCTAGTAGCGTTGCATTTAATACTTATTATTATTTTGATGTGTTTTGATGTAAGAAAGAAAAGCAAACATAAAATTGTGTGCATCGGTTTTAAAAATTCTCCAGTTATAGCATATTTAAATTAAATTTCAAGATCACATCAATGACATTAAATTTGCTTGCCGTTACGACGAATTCACCAACCACAAATCCCGTCGTTACATTTCATTGCAATTTATGTAATGAAGTTATTGCGTGCGTTCCATCGCAAAATGTGAAGTATATTGCGTCACCGTTTGTTTCGTTTCCAGACGGTTACACCATTCATGTAAAAGTAAATGAACGAAGTCAGGTATCGTATTCGTTGGAATCGATTACTGACAAACAGGGCACATTTTTAAGATGTACACGTTGTGCATCGTCACTGTGCAATAAAAATGACTGGCTATACACAATGGGACGAGATCCATTTACGTTTGAGGTGCTGGTCTTCTCAAATCAAAAAGTTAAAATGGAACTGCATACATCCGATACGAACCAGCCAAATCGAGCAGGCTATATGGCATGTGGAATACAAAGTGATAACGAAAGTTTCATGGACACAAGTTAAACGGAAAATTTCGAGTGTTCGTTCAATAAAAAACAAAAAAATGCAACAAAGTGATAGAATAAAAGAGAGAACACACTTACATCACTTTTTTTTGCTTTTGTAGTTAATTGATTCCTGTGGATGATCTTATACTGGATGATAATTTTCAGGTCATTGAACGGTCACATTGCAAAAACACCATTAACTTTAAGACTTGAATGTGTACGAATAAATTCACGGACAATCAATTGGATTTAAGAATCAAATGCTATGATTTGAATTTGATAATGTATTCTATGTTCACTAGACTAATTCATTTCGAACATTTACCGATTTGCAATATTGTATTTTCATATGAATGATTTATAGTCTTTAGTTACAAATTCTAATCATCTTTCATAATATCATTTGAATTGATAAAATTATTGAAGCATTCAAAAAAGTAGATTTTTGAGATTCATTTTGAATCAGCCGAAAAATTTTTGCGTGATTTACCCCTTTTGATATATATGACAGATGATATATTGTTGTTTTTATTTTCTATTCATTGCACTATCGTGCAAGCAATAAATTTTCTTTAAAATAAATATTATTGATTACAAATGCACGTTTTTGTATGTTTAAAATTGGGAATTTATGTGCGTCAAGCGTCATTGAAAACTTTCAAATTCAGTCAATTCTACGATAGACAGTCCACTAAAAAAGAATTCGTCTTTTTGAAATAAGAGTAAAAAAAGTGTCAAATAGACGAAAATGAAGAACATTTTACTGGTTTTGTTGTTGTTTAAATTTCATGAAGCAAATGGAGCGCAGAATCCAAACGATCTTACGAAAGCATTTCAAGATATTGGTAAAGGTATTTTTAAAAGAGTTTCACATATTGTCCCAAAACCAAAGGACTTCTTCGAAAGTATTAAAAACATCATAGCTGGCTATCCGCTTGAGCAAGTAATTTAAATACATTTTCAATTTTTTCAACACAAAATTTACTCAAAACTGAATCGATTTTCACCAGGTTTTGGAATTCATCAGCCATATGTGTGAGTAAAACCTTGGAAAGGGAACATTTTCTTGATTCAATCGGCATATTTTCTCTTTAGGCTCAATAGCAATGTCATCGGGTGATCTGACACCTCGCGTTATGCCTGACATTGCAAATATTAGCTATGTCCTCAGGACCAAAGATAAAAATATTTCGGTGCCGTTAAGTGAGCCAAATCAATTGTGGTCGCTCGAGGAATTCAATCCGGAATTGCCCTTGGTTTTGATGATTACAGGATGGAAGTCGCATGTAAATGTCACTGAAAAAACCGCAGCTGACGTAGTATATGAAGCCTATCGATGCCGAGGAAATGTTAATTTTGTGGTATTATCATATTTTTGTTAATTTTATTTTGTTGTTTTTCTTCATTTTGTAATTTTTATTATTAGACTGTTGACACAGGTTAGTTTCGTACATGTTTTCGTAGTTTTCCTTGATATCAATGTTTCGAAGTTACAACTTTTATTTTAAATTTTAAAGCCGATTTTGTTGATACACTGTACACATGGTCTGCATTTAATACGGAAAAATTAGGAGATATTGTTGCTGATTCGTTGATCAATCTAGTAGAATGGTATCCCATTCAAAACATCACATTAATCGGCAAGCACAACACAAACAATTTAATACGGTTCTAAAGTTAATCATATGTGTATATTTTCATACTGTGTTGTAGGTCACTCATTGGGCGCTCACAGTAAGACAATTTTAAAAATCAAATAAAAACGAATATTTGAGATAAATTCATTTTCAGTTTGTGGTTCGGCTGGACGAAATTTAAACTTCAAAACTAATCAAATATTGCCGAAGATCATTGGATTAGGTATTACCAGAATAAAAAGCTCGATTTTGATTTATAATAAGTGTTTTTGTATGTATCATTAGACCCAGCGAATCCTTGTTTCAATTCGGGCCAAACTTTAACTGGTCAGTATTTAACTATGATACACAGAAAGAAAATATCAGCCGACGCTATACGCAAAACCGACTGGTACGTGCGCTCATACGTTTTTACATCTTTTACATCTAGTGACAATACGATTTTTCGACTGATTCGTTACTCTTTGTGCGTATCTTCGCACAGTCGAAAAATCGTATGGTAATAGATGTAAAAGATGTAAAAACGTATGAGCGCACGTACCAGTCGGTTTTGCGTATAGCGTCGGCTGATATTTTCTTTCTGTGTAGATGATAGTAACATCCAAACACAACATTGCTCAAAACTTTCTAGGGTTATCTCGAGGCGACGCGGAATTCGTTATGGCTATACACTCAAATCCAGGGGTAAATAATATTAGCCACACTAAAAATTGAATTTATATAAATTTTTCGTTTTATAATTCGGCATGAAGGTATTCGGTAGAAAAGATCCATTAGGTAAAGAGACTCATTCCATTTCGAATATTTCATTAAAATTTCCACGCCAATTTACTTCACAGGTGACGTTGACTGGTTTCCAAATGGTAACGTACAGTGTCACGTATACACATGATTTGATCGAGCTAAAAAAAATCTCTCATTTTAGGCGTAGTTCCTTTGCCACCTGGCTGCTTTTCAATCACTTGTGCACACTCACGGGCGAGTGATTATTATGCTGAGTCAGTTATTCCCGGAAACGAATACAATTTCATGGGTGTGAAATGCAATTCGTTGTCTGCACTGGAGTCTAATCTTTGCAAAGGGAAGGAGTATCCAATGGGCTATTTGACCCCGAGCAATTTGAAAGGAAACTACTTTTTGAAAACCAACGACAAAAGCCCATACGGAAAAAACGCGAAAAAAGATGTCAGACCAACTTGTGATGGATCTCCGCTCAGTTATGATGAATATGTTTTGGATTATAACGATGAGGCTTTAGAATATAACGACGATGAAGATGAGAGTTGGTTAAACTTTGAAGATAGTGAAGATACAAATGTTTAGATTTATGTATTTATTTCTATATTTGTGAGAAAAAATAAAAAAATGAGAACTAGATCCGTTTTTATAACGAAAATAAATTGCAAAGCATTTTGATAAGATTCGTTAAACATGTACGGAGAAAGTTATTTTGGAGGTTCCACGACAACCAGAAGCCTTCGTGTCGAAAGTTAGAATAGCCCTGCGTGGTGTTTTTAATATATTTTGTACCAAGAATGACACTTTGGGTTGGCAACAAAAATCGATCTTAACCTTCCCACATGTTGTTAAGTAAACTGAATAGTTCATAGACGAAAATTTATTAATAAATCATCACTTTATTCTTAAAATAACTCACAAGTCGTTCAGGTAATAAATAGGTAAAATGTCTAAAAACAGTTATAATACAATTCTTTATTACTTATCGCAAAGCATGGCAGTAGTGACAGTTGGGCAACGCAACATTGAATAATGGCACAAATTTGCTATAGTTCATCTGGCAACCGATGCGAGTTCTTCGGTCATTTCTTGTCACTGCCGTGCTTTGCTTATCGTTAAGGAGACAATCTCAACCACTTTTTTGTAAACATGCAAAAAATCACGTATATCAATTTAATGAGTTAAATTCGAGAATTATCTTCAACTTACTTCTTTTCAAGGTTATTGTAAAATTAAACTTCATCTTGTGATCATTCTTAATAATACACAAATAATTTTTGGTTTACCTCTTGATTTTCAGGCAATAAAAAAATTTCAAACAATGACATCTTCAATAAATTCATCTTAATTCAGTGTTATCTGTGTCATATTCCTTATTTTGTGTTATTTTCAACTAGAAAACATTTTGTGAGTTCATCTTAAAGAATGTAAATTACATAATGTTTGAATATGTTAACAAATTATTTGCAAAATTCATCAAAAGAAGTAAAAGATTAACACACTTAAGTCAACAACGATTAGATATCCAGACAGCGACAGATATTGGATTTTCGTCTTTGTTTTAATTTATAAGAGCCAAAATCCAACAGAAATCTAAAAAGAAGCTTTCAAATCGTTGTCTGCAGCAGAGGCATCTTGCTTGTTGTATAATTTGACATGAACTTGAAAATGAAGTACTCTTGCCTGATTTTGTTGGTCTTCACATTTTCTGCATCACACGGAGCAGTTGACTTTGGGTTTGCTGGCGATATTTTAACATCAACTGGTAATATTTTAAAAAGTGTAATCAGTAAATCTCTAAAATTAAATCAGAGTCCAGATGATTTTTTCGAAGAATTCAAAAATATCTTGATCGGCTATCCTTTCGAACCAGTAAGTTAATGAAATAATTTTTGGATGAAGTTTTTAAGAGATTTTTTTCCAACAGGGATTTATGTTTGTAAGCACATTGTGTAAGTAAACATTTATATCTTTTTTTCATGGAAATTTCGCGCTTAAGATGAATTAAATTGATTGTATTTCAGGCTCAATAGTAGTTTCAGAGGAAAATATAAAACCACGTATAAGACCCAGCATTGAAAAAATGAACTATGTCCTTAAAACCAAAGATAGAAATATTTCCGTGCCGTTAAATGATCCTGTCGAATTGTGGTCGCTTGACGATTTCAATCGTGATTGGCCAACGGTAATTATGGTTACCGGATGGACAACGAATATTTCCGAAGGAACAGCCGCTGACTCAATATATGACGCATATGAGTGTCGGGGCAATGTTAATTTTGTGGTATTATTATTATTTTGGTTATTTTTAATATTGATATTTTCATCTAATTTTGTTGGTTTCACCATTTTTGCCATTGTGCACAGCTTATTGATACAGGTTAGATATCTGTTCTCTTTCATTTACTTCGAAATTGCGAAATCGATTAATTATTTCTCATTCAACAGCGGGTTTTGTTGATACCATATATTCATGGGCCGCCTTTAACACGGAGGAAATTGGAAATATTCTTGCTGATTCTTTGGCGATTTTGACAGAGTCAGAGTATGACATGGAAAACATCACATTAATCGGTAGGTTGGAACAATCTAAATTTGGTGAAATGACTTAATTTTCGTATGAAATATATAGATGAGTCATTTGAGATAACACGTTCATACTTTATTTCTAAATAGAAAATTTGAATTTTGCGCATGTTATCTTTTTGTTAATTACTTAACCAAATATTAGTTCTAAAGCTAATCTCAGATTAAAATACCGTTCGACAAACTGAGTTTGTTGTCTGAGACGTTATGTAACTTAATAATAAAAGCTGAACAAATAATGATTTTTTCATAATTTCACGCAATGTCACTAGGTCATTCATTGGGAGCGCAAAGTAAGCAAAAACAAACAAATTTTCTCTGGATTTTTGAGATAAAATTAACAATCAATAAATTACAGTTTGTGGTTCGGCTGGCAGAAATTTTTACAACAAAACAAACAAATTATTGCCCAAAATCATTGGACTAGACCCGGCCAACCCTTGCTTTGATATGGGTGAAAGCTTAACAGGTCAGAATTTTTTATTGCATATTTTTAATTTTAATAACATGTGCTTCACTTAAAAAGTATGCAAGAGCAAGTAACAAAAAATACATAATTATAATATTGCACTTTTAGGGTTGTATCGTGGCGATGCTGATTTTGTGATAGTTTTGCACTCAAATCCTGGAATTTTTGGCAAGGCAGATCCCTTGGGTAATATTTTTTCATTGGAAGACAAATCCAGAATGCACAATTAAATAGAACCTAATGTAATAAATGGTTAATTTACTTCAAAGGTGACATTGACTTTTATGTGAATGGATTGAGACCAAAAGCACCGGGTTGCTTTACGATTACATGTTCGCATGGCCGGGCGGTCGAATATTACGCTGAATCAGTCTATCCTGGGAACGAACATAATTTTATGGCAGTCAAATGTAACTCGTTGTCCGCACTTGAGCAAAACTCTTGTAAAGGAATTCCAATTCCGATGGGTTACGCGACTCCAACCAATGTGAAAGGAAATTACTTCTTGAAAGTCAACAAAAAGAGCCCATACGGTAAAAATTCAACCAAAAATTTCGTACCAATTTGCCAGGTTTTCAATGATTCAATGTCATACAACTGATTTAAGAATGGATGAATAAAAAAACATCGTGATACATGTAATTTGCTGTATTAACAACGGTTTCATATAATTTGAGATGAAAATAAAGACGAAGAATAACTCAAACTCAGACTGTTTAATTTACAATATTCTTTAATTCATATATTACGGAATTGTTTATGCATAATAGTCGAGTCTTTGCCATAATTTATTCCAAAAATAAATATGGAGAGATGCAATTCTTCTATTTAATTGGAATGTTAAACAATTCAAATAATTCTCATTTTGCAAATTGTAGCACATTAAATATCATTTCTAGTGAATTGAAATTCTTGATTTTTCCATTTGAAAATCATTAGATCACTAATTTGCAAAGTAAAATGCAAATTCAATTGTATGCATACAAATCATATTTATTATAGACCTGTCAAAGATTTCTTATACGACTGTAAATTTTAGCGAAGAACAAAAAAAATCCGACCGATATCTGGCCGATTTCATATGAGAGTATTGTAGTTGTACATAATTTCTTTAGGTGCAACATTGAACTTGACCATCGCATAATCATTCTTGATTTAATGACCTATTCATATTTATCAAAGTAAAAAAACACAAGATAAAAAAAATGTCGTAGAAAACATAGTGTTTTTTGTAAAAAAAAACAAATCCACAACACATGTACGTACGTCCTTAATGAATTAATGATAATGTTTACGTATATTTTACAGTGTACTGTTTTTTCCATCAACTAGAGAGATGATATTGCACGCAATCTTACTGTATCTAATGCATACTGTTCGTTTAAATCGGGCTGTTTTTTAGACTGACTCAACTACTTGATTATAATCAAAAAGTAGTATTTATTTCTCATTGTCTCTTGCTTAAACATTATGCAAAATTCTCACGCAAATAAATTAACAAGCGGCGAACGACAACAACTGCAATCGGCCGCACGGCGACGTGTTTAGATTTAAAAAAAAATTAGATACTATGACTCAGATAAACATTACAAATTCTCCATACAAAAATCGATGATTTTAAGAAATTCCGACAGTTTGCTTTAAATCGTCGATTAAGAAACAAGTTGCATAGTGCCTTTCAAGTTAAGCGATTTTTTGTGTTTCCGAATAAAATGAAGTACATTTTGCTGTTATTACTGGTGTTTAAGTTTTACACAACAACCGAAACATTGGATTTGTCCGATGTGGGGAAATCAGCGGTTGATGTGGCCAAAGGTGTCATTGATAAAATTCCGGATTCCATTCCAAAGCCAGAGGATTTATTTCAAGCTGGCAAAAATCTCATAGCCGGCTATCCATTCCAACAAGTAATTCGTACATAAATAACTCTTACATACACTTTTTTTTATACGCGTCAAAGCTTTTAACTTAAAAAAAAAACTCTTTTTCCGGTTCGAATAGGTTTTCTCGGCTATCAACACATTTTGTGAGTGAACTTGAGTGCGACATTTGTTGTGAATTCAATATAATCGACCATTTATTGCTATAGGTTCGGCAGCGCTGTCGGCCAAAAGTGTACAACCACGTTCGATGCCAAATATTGGGAACATGAGCTATGTTCTGAAAACGAAAAATAAAAACATTTCCGTACCGCTGGATTCACCGGAAGAACTATGGAAACTGAAGGAATTCAACCCAAAACTGCCACTCGTGATGGTTATAACGGGATGGACAACGAACTTTAACGATACCGAGAATCCCACACTTGATAAAATTTACGACGCATATCGGTGCCGAGGAAATGTTAACTTTGTGGTATAGTTGAAATGGATACATTTGAGAGTGAATTCATTTTAATTGAATTTTTTTCTTCTTTTTTTCTCTCGCTTTTGAATGTATTTCGATTAGACTGTTGACACAGGTTAGTTTTCTTTTCTGTTTTGTTGCCAACAAAATAAATATTTGATTTTTAATCAAACAGCTGGGTTCGTTGATACGTTGTATAGTTGGTCGGCCTTTAACACTGAGGAAATCGGAAATGTTATTGCTAATTCGTTGAAACATTTGATACTGACTTATCCCATTGAAAAAATACACCTTATCGGCAAGTATAAAAAAATGCACAGCTTCCGCTCTAACGGAACACAAACAATACTCATTTTTTTCTCGTGATTTCAAACAATTACTGTGTTTTCCTATACTCAAAGAAAACTTTCGCTCTTTCTCTCTCCCTTTCTCAATGTTGTTTTGATTTGTGTAGGCCACAGTCTTGGAGCTCATAGTAAGCGAATTTTCAGTATTTATTATGATTTTTATTGCGAATTCAGACGTATAAAATGCGTTTAAATTCTTTTTTTTAAATAGTTGCTGGTTCGGCTGGTAGAAATTTGAATTACAAAACGAACAAGCTCATTCCTCGAATAACTGGTTTAGGTATTGTCAGTTTTGCCTTAAATGGACCGATTCATTTTGATTTATAATGAGTGTTTTTGTAATAATTAGATCCGGCAAATCCATGCTTCAATCCCGGTGAAAATTTGACGGGTTTAGCTCGAGGCGATGCCGATTTTGTCGATGTAATACACACAAATGCAGGTAAGAGATTTCGAAGAATATTTCATTTTCTTGAACATAACAATTTGATGGTGTATATAATTTTTTTTTTCGGGGACGAAGGCGCTTTGGGTAGACGGGATCCTCTAGGTAAAACTATTTTGTTTCATTTTATGTCTTATATGACGCAATAAAATTTGATGATCTAGAAAATGGCATATTAAATCTTTCATGGTTCATGAATATTTCTCTTTCTTTTGCTTTTGTTTGAAGGTGACATTGACTTCTTTCCGAATGGTAAGAAAATTAATTTCATTGAACAGTAGAGAGAGATATCCATATTAATGCATTTCACAGGTGTTCAACCACTTCCACCGGGTTGTTTGTCAATCAGTTGCGCGCATCAAAGAGCACCAGAGTTCTATGCTGAGTCAGTATACCCCGGTAATGAATTCAACTTTATGGCAGTCAAATGTGGATCATTATCCGCATTAAATGGAAAATATTGTCCAGGAAAGCCGATTCCAATGTGAGTGATGTATATTTCAGAGAAAAAATTCTCCGAAAAATAATAAATCGTTTTGTTCATATCTTTTTAGGGGCTACGCAACTCCGTTGAATATAAAAGGAAACTACTTTTTAAAAACAAACGAAGAAAGCCCGTACGGTTTAAATGCGACGAAAGATTTTAAACCGGTTTGCAACGCATGACTAACCGACAATTACAGTAATGACTCGACAAATTCACCAAAGGCCAATGGAAGTGGTACGATGATTTACAGTTTGAGCAAAATCACTCAAATTCTAATACTTTTACTGATTTCCATTATTATCAAATGAACAAAAACCCATTGTTTGTGTTTTCATGCGAATTTTGTTCATTTTAAAAAATCATATACGTCTTTGGATCAAATAAATACAAAAGAAATTCGTGCGTCATGAAAATTGGTGGAATTACCGAGTCAATACTGTAATTGGTGTTCAAAAAAATATGTAATATAAAAACTGCATTTTGATTTTTGATTTGAATTGTTAAACGATTTCAATAAATTCGCCATATTTCACTTTAATAAAGATAATTCACATTGGTATAACTAGATTGAAAACAATAATCTTTCATTTGAGAAAAAAACATGTAATTAAATTCATGAGATACTAAATAACAATGTCGTGATTTAACTTGAAATGCAAGCGATCTCGTTTTACGTAATAAAAAACCTTGCCATTGAAAGTGCACTTCGTTCTATAAATGTTCATTGATTGAGTGAATCATAGCATCGATTCTGTAATTCGAGCACAAGATTTGAAATTCAAGTGGAATTCATGTTTGGTCGCACATTTTCCCATAAGTGTGTGAAGTAGAACAAATGTACATCTTGTAGATAAATGTGAACGCATCTGCTTGAACGACATATGATCATGGGGTCCAATTAAATTTTTTTAATGAGTCGAACGTTATACGCACTTGTTTCCGGGTGGAATTTTTTTTTCTTCATAAAATGAAAAATATATTGGAAAATTCCATTCGAATATCGATAACATGGGCGAAATTAAATTTTGCCAATATAAACGCAATTTGCACAAAATTTCGATGACAAATCTACTTTGTTGCCGAGACAGTGTTGATCACGGAACGAAACTTCGCTATTTCATTTATTCCGAAAAGAATTCATTTTTTTTGTTCGTTTCCAATTGAAAGCGTTTGCGTGACCCGTCGCCGTTGTGTTCACTATTCATCTCTGGGCAATGTTCCAGTGGCAATTGATTTTAATTAGTGTTCCGAGAAAGAAAAATATAGTTACACAGAAAAGATGCGATTTTTCGCTTATTTAACAGTACTTTTGTTTATATCGCATGACGGATATTGTGTGGAATTTCACATGAGCGATGTATTTAGTGTTTTAACGCATGCAACAGTTGGTGCATTGGAATCCATACCACGTTCAATTCCGAGCCCATCAAAATTTTTCGAGCTCAGCAAAAATGTGCTCATCGGATTTCCATATGAAATCGCATATGCGTTGATAAATGACTTTTGTATGAATTCAATCAATTTATTTTAAAATATCTATAAACATACAAATGGGTTTCGTCTTTTTTTAGGCTCTGCTGCGCTCAATTCAAACTCAGTGTTTGTAAAGGCAAAATTCACCCCGAAAATCGAATCGATGTCATTTATTTTACGAACTAAAGACGCCCATATATCAATTCCAATTAATAATCCGAACGCGTTGTGGAATCACACGGAATTCAATTCAAGCAATCCATTAACGATATTTGTAACCGGCTGGAAGACAAACTTAAAACACGATGTATCAACGGCTCAAGATACTATGTCCGCTGCGTATTTGTGTCGAGGCAACGTCAATTTTGTGGTAAAAACTTTAAACATTTTCAATGCACGTAGTGTGTGTACGCCTGATTTTTGATCGCAAAAACATATATTTCTTTCTATTCCAATACGTCAGACCCTTGATACAGGTTTGATTTCTCAAAATTAATGTCGAACAATTTCTCGATTCGTAACAAATCAAATGGAACGTGTTCATTTCTTTATTGCACAGCTGCTTACATTGATACGTTATATAGTTGGAGCGCCTTCAACACCGAAACCATTGGTGAATGTTTAAGTAATGCGTTACAGAGTTTGATTACGAGATATCCGCTCGAGAAAATTCACCTCATCGGCCACTCTTTGGGAGCGCAAATTTGGTAAATATTTTCCATTTTGGGAATCAACTTTTTCAGGGTTTTTTTTTAAATGGAAATGTAAATCCGTACAGTGGTGCTGCCGGTAGACATTTTACAACAAATACAAAACGTTGGATCCCACGAATAACTGGCTTAGGTATTACCCAAAATAGCTCTGAAATATTACATTACAATATTTCATATATTATAGAATACAGTGCTATTGTAATCATTAGATCCGGCTAATCCATGTTTCAACAACGGTGAAGCTTTAAGCGGTTTATTCCGTGGCGATGCCCAGTATGTTGATGTTATACACACAAATCCAGGTTTTGTTTGAAGTTTTAAAATAATTGATGAAAAAAAAAACTTTACACACATACTCTGCATACTTGTCAATAGGTTGTTTGGGAAAGCGAGAAGCGGTTGGTGATGCTGATTTTTATTGTAATGGTATGTCACCGCTGCAACCGGGTTCGTTTGATGTTTCATCGAGTCATAGCCGCGCCTGGCAATATTATGCCGAATCAGTATATCCTGGCCAGGAAAGCAATTTTTTGGCAAAAGAATGTACATCGATGCAAGCTTTTGAGACAAACTGTTGCCATGGGCCGTGGATTTCAATGGGTTATGCCACACCCACTCATGTGAAAGGAAAGTATTTTTTAAAAACCCACTCGAAAAGTCCGTACGGTGAAAATTCTAGAAAATATTATCAACCCGTTTGTGTCAATTAGAACATACACACAAGCATTAACGTTACAATGCCAGTGAATAGGTTTTTTTTCTTCATCTGAGTATTAAAAAGCAGAATTTATTGCGTGGAAAAACTTTCCGGATCGATAACGGTAATGAGTTTAACGCCTTTTAGGCTCTTAATAAAGTGTGATAAGAAAGCGTTAGGAATGTAAATGTTTGACTTTTCTTTGACTTCTCTGTGCATTTGTGAAAATGTCATCGATGAGAATAATCGAGGTAAGAAATAAGTGAACTTTTGTTGCTGTTGCAGGTGATTTTTTTTCCACTTAATTTTGTTGGAAGGTTGTTTTGCAACACAGTTACTCGCTTCGAAAAATGTCACGTTGAATATTAGGTAATTATAGAGTGGCTGTGATATTTTCATCGTGAAAAGATATAACACACTATAAGACTTTGAATCCACTTATCGTTGTCGAGATGTATATCACGTCATTTTTCTCGTGCGTTCGGCAGTCGTCGACGACTATGAAATTGCTATTCCATACATAAAATGCTCAATATATAAATTGTTCAATGAGAATATAATGCATAAATGCGAAAGAACAGTGGCGGTAGAAATTGCTAGACAGCATCATACTATTGAATCATTTTAAATACCATAGTGATAAAGTGCGTCATTACAGTGACACCTGAATGTATTTTTGAGTTTAATACGGAACGATGATTGCGACAAGAGAGAGAGAGAGAGAGAGAGAGAGAGAGAGAGAATTCTGAAGGGAAACGTGTTTGAATGTTTCGCATTTGAAGCTCTATATGATTTGATACGTTTACCCGTCTTATACAAGATTATTCTGACGAAAGCGAGCACTTCATTTTTGGACCGAGTTTTCCGTTCGAAACTCTTCGATAAGCTGCAAAGATTGGATTGGAAAATGATGATGATGGAAAAGTTGTTTTTTTTTTCCTTTTTCACTCTCTCTTCGATGAAAACTTAAACAATGTTCGAATATGAGAAAAACAGTATAACTATATTATGTGCAAATATGAACCTGTTGAAGAAGACGAACGACAAAGATTAACTGTAGAGTTTGTTATCTTATTTTTTTATTTTATGTCGATGGGACATACTCCAAAAGTGCAGCTAAAACTTTCAATTTAGTCACTAATATGAAAGCCACAGAGCCAAAGGCAAGCTGTTACATATTAAATTTTCAAGAACATCGATTCCATCATCGTTGCTCCGAATGTTCCCTTCTCCCTCGTTCGCATTCTTTCTATATGTATATTTTTCACTGGCGAACCAGATTAACTGACATCAACTCTACATATGGCTTCAAGTTATTTGAAAACTTTATTTATATGTGCACGGGTATGCCAGAGGAAAATGGATGGCACTGCCACTGTGAAACGACGCCAAAAAGAATAAACAAAGAAATTAAGAGTCTGCAAAAGTTTTATTTTTATCTATGCACGATTAACATTCAAATTGGGGACAGATCCAATTGCATGATGCTTCCCTACGCAATTTTATTTCTTGATATTATTTCCTCTCTTTGCATCTTCTCTCGTCCTTTCACCATTTCACTTGTCTTGATTTCAACTCAATTTTCATTTGGAGAAGAAGAAGAAAAAAAAAACAAGTTTCAATGACACATTTCGCATGAAATGTGCCAATCTTTTCCAAACTGAATCCATTTCTGTCGCATTTATGTATTATGAAAAAAAATTGCTAAAAATATCAACGAAATTTGCTACAAGTTTGCGTCCATTTTTAGATTCCATCACCTTCGTATAATGCATCCCATTCAGCATTCGACACCAAGCAACACATTGAATCGCAAATGAATGAGGGCATCCTATAATCATCGTACCTCTTGTCACTCCAATACGTATACGATACAGCAATCTTTTGAACCGTCATTTTTCTTGGATTTTCATCTGACGTTGATTTTTCCCTTCTTCGAAACCCATTTACAACACCATGTGGACGAAAGAATTTGCAAACAATTTTCATGTTTTTCTCTTTCGAAAGACAATAAAAATGAAATGTTTGTACATGAATTCCAGTGTCCTCATAAAATGTATCTGAATCCACAATCACCATCATGTTGATTCTATAATTTCGTTAACATATTTTTACTGAGGATATTTTTTGGTTTGTATATTGTATGGACTTTTCTCGCTTTGTTTATGTTTTCTGTTTGTTTTTTTTTTTTTGCATTTTTTTGTGCATGTATATTTCATCCGCTTGTAGTGTGGATGCAGCGCAGTGATTGTAATCCATTTCAATTATGGTGAAAGTTTTATGCTGACAAACCGTCAAACGCGAATTTTGATAAGTTGAAATGAACATTTTATGTTTCATATTATGTGTTAACGGCGACTAAAATTAAATCTGTCTGTTCCATTCATGTGTTTAAGCTTTCGTGTATTATTTATTGCCCCTTTGTGACCAAATGACAACAATATCAAGTGCAAACCTACATATGTTTTGCCACACACACACATATCTGTTTTTGCCCCCAAAACAAGACTGAGGTCATTGTCGAATTCTTGGCACACAAACCTACGGCTCTATAGTCCATCGTCACCGGATTGTATGATTATTTCAAAACAAGTCCCATACTCTCTTCCTCTATGTATTATTTATTGCTGTGTGAATTGTATTCGTTACTGCGAACGTCTTTATGTGACGAGAATGCAATTACAAGCCCAAAATGTAATTTATATATCAATGCCTTCTACAGTGAAGGTATGATGTTTGCTTGCAGTCACCTTGCTCATATTTTATGCATAACCGCATTTACTGCGATGAGTTTCTCAGAAAATAAAATTGAGTTTTACTGAGGCACACAGTTTCTATGTATCAATTTTACTATTAAATTTTCCCATGGAAAATCATGATGTATTTCATTTTCTCCAATGGAAATGTGTAACTAAAACGTGATTACTTTTTGTGTTTTGTTGTTTGACTGGTAGATGTCAAAAGTTTTATCAATTTTATTGCATTGTATCTGTGTATTGCACTGTACATTGAATTGCTGGATTAAATTAACATTTGAAATGCAATTGCAAAAGAAAGACAAGTAGATGTTGTACTAATATTGATATCACAACCACGATAAGATAATCCATTAAATGTGAAAACTAGTGTAATATAGTTCAATCCAAACCGAAATGAGTTTGCTTCGGTTGCAATTGAAACAAAGTAGAGAGAAAATACATGCCGGAAACTGTATGTGATCTGTGATGCATGCATAATGCGTACTACAGAACAAGTGTGTGGCTTTGTTCGTTTTGATTTCATGCAACAAATCTTTCTCGATGGTATCTCTTGTTCTCGTTCGCTTTCGAAATCGAGGTCAAGAGCTTATTTCGTGAATTAAATATTATTATGTTATAAAGCCATTTGAATGTAGTTGGTTGTGCGAATGCAAGGTTTTGTGCTTGCACTGTTGAACATGTGATAACACATTTTCGTAAAACACACTAATTTATTAAACCACTTCAAACCACCATATGGGTGCTTGTGTGTATATTGAAAAACTAACGCTTGCAATATTGATAAATGTGTGCATATTGTTTGGTTGTCGTTTGTATTTGTGACTGTGTGATGTGTGCGTGTTATCAGTTTGACAAAATGTAATTCATAATTTGAAATGAAATTGCACGAATAAATTCTGAATCGCAAATTTTATCGCGTTTGAAACGGTCTTGCGTGCCAATTGTCCAATTGACAATTTCAGTGCGATTGATATAGATTCGATATTCATTGATTTTCGTTCAGACACGGCTTCGAGACCGCTGCAAACTTTGTCAAAAAATTCTATCATATGCAAATGTGGTGGGATTTTTTTTTTCACCAATTCTTTTTAATTAGATACGATTGACAGGTACAAATTGAAAATTTAATTAAAAATGTAACACAAATAAAACCTAATAATATTCGATTTGTTGATATCGCAACCGCAGCTGTATTATTGACGCTACAATGTAATTAAACACAACAAAGTGTTAATTAAAAACAATTCAATTTTGGTTTGTTCGCCTGTTTTCTCTCTGTCACTTTTGACTAAGTGACAAATTGCTCGTGTGAATTGTATTCATTTGATGGAATGTGGTGAGTTGCCCAAAAATTCGAAACATTTTAACATGAATAACTGTCAAAACAAAGAAGCAATCGATTCTATCCAGGTCATCCTCATATTCATCGTAAATACCAACAAAAAAAATCCCACAACCGAGAAGTTGTAATCTCTTCATAAATGGCGCAGTTTATGTCTCTTTTTACATTCCATATTGCCTGCTCAAGAAATGGTGCATGGCATTTTGTCGGATTGCCTTTTCCACCAGGCGAACGAAAGGGGAATGTGATGTGTCAATTTGGATAAAATGTAATACAACAATGTTTTGTGTGAATATTAAAAGAGCATACATGAGGGTATATGTGGTCGGATGTTTGTGTGCAGTGTGTGCAAAATTACAAAAGCCAAGAATGGTAACGGAAAGTGCACACCAGATAAATTCATCCATTGCTTAAGATACATTATATGGAATATGACACAAACAAAAGCACTAAAATACCTCAAATTTGAAAATTGGTTCATTCATCTTATGGTGTTGCGTTCATCGTGTGTGATTGGTGGTAGCCAATGTGTACTGGCACATTTTGATATATCAGTCGCTAGCACTTTACTTCAATCTAGTGCAGCAGTCTTACTTATTTATTGGAAAATATTTTTAACGTTATTACATGCCTAGGATGCGATAAGCATTTCTAAGTTCATGCACACACACACCACACATATTTGTTCGTAATAAATTGAATTCCGTGCTATTAAGATGATTTGCCAGATATTATACCACATACATTGTGTTTGCTCTTTTACCGCCATTTGTGTATGCAATTCAATTGGAATTTATTGCTTAGTACATGGTTTTTTTTAGCTCCATCTTATCCATTTCTCTCACTTTCTGCAGCTTTTTCAATCTATATGCTGAGACCGCTTTAAATTAAATATGTATGGTGCTGAAACGATCCATAAATCGTTTAATAATAATATAAAAAAACGACGACAAAATGTGAGGCAAAAAGAAAGCACGCTTTGCTACCACGGCACGAAAGCACATTCAAGCGACGGTCATGTCAATTGTTTTACGAGCATTGCACACATATTATATCGTTCCGATGAAGCCTAATACGCTAAATATCA